GAACAGTAATCTTAAAACTTCTTGTTGCTCCTTCCACCGGTCCCTCAAATCCTTCTCTTATATGGGCCTGATAGAGATGACTATTTTTCTCTGACATGTGAAAGTTAAACAAGTTGGGATTGAAATCCTCAGGTGATTAGAAAAGGCCTGAAAATGCTGTTTTCCATAAATGATACATATGTTTTAAGTACTCTAGAAAAACGTTCCCTCCTTCTATACAATGGAGTAAAAGGATTTCTCTGATCTCTAGAAAGCTATTCCTTTGTGATGAGCTTGAAACACTGTACTGCCCTTCCTCATGATGTCTCTGGTCTTCATGATGATACTAATATTTCCTTGACTATCATGAATTAGCTGTTTTTGTCTGTTATGACTTTTATGGGACCTTTAGAAGATCATTACATTTGGGAGAAGTAGGCTTACCTGACCCACTCTTGGTAGTTCAGGACAGGCTTCTTAGACCTGTCCCAGTGGCCAAGCTGGGACCTGAAGCAACAGAAAGCATGCACATCCAGGAGACTGGAGACTGAAAGAGGTTTAGTATGCTTGGACCTTGGAGGAAACTGTAAGGAATGTCAAGAGACTGGAGATATGAGTAGAGGCTTCATAAGCCACAGTAGGAATGCAGTCTGCATAATCCCCTGAAGGAATGGGATAGGGATCAGCAGGAGCTTCTGCTGATTTCCACTTCTTCCATACCATTCAGTAGCTGTTGTGGACTATGAAACCCAGAGAGAGACAGAGCACAGCTTTACCTCCATAGCATCTGCACCCACATGCAATGCATACCCAATCCACCCACTCTCCCAAGCTGCAAGACCCTAAGTCTTCTGGCATTATCAGAGAAGAAAATAAAGAACTGGGTCTGCCATCAGCTGGGGAGTCCAATTATATCATCAGTAGGAGAAGTCTGTAGGGAACTTGGTCTACAGGTTCTGTATAATCTTTCCTAGGTGGTGTCAGGTAAGTGATAAGAATTGACAAGCTACAGAGTTGGGAAGCTGGAGAAGGAAAAGTACAACGTTAAAAATTTGATCTAGTCATTTAAAAAATCCAGTGATTCCAATCTATAGACAAGAGACTCCTAACTGACTTTAAATTAGGATACTAACACTGATAAATGGAAGACTGAAAAGTTTAACATGTTCATTCTGTTAGTAGGTTGGCCTGAGTCCAAGTGCTATTTGCTTACCTGATGCTACTCTGCTCCTTCTGGAAAGCTCAAATGTGGCCAGGAGACAAGATCATGTTCCAAAGGCACTGTTAGGTGAACAACGGTAAGAAGCCACTTCTTGCTTTTTTCTGCCTACCTTCCTAACTGGGTCAGACACTTTTAGTTCAGCCATGAGATTACAGAGTAGACAAATGTATTCCTGGAGGGAGCTATTTGGCATCATGTTATCGTTAACAGGCAAATCCAAGTCATAACCAATCCCAAGTTAGTCACCAGTGAAGTCACTAAATACTTAAACAACTTTAAGGTGACTTTCTAATAAACAGCAGAAAGACAAGGATTTTATTTACAAAAAATTAAAGTGGCTTGAGACCTGGGAAAAATATAAAAGTTTATTAATACTGTTGGAATTTCTTTCTCAGAGAATGAGGAGAGAAAGATTTACTGAGTACTTGATGTCTCCCAGTTGCTCAGGTGTATGTTTTATATAATTTGTTCACATAACCCCATGTATTAGGTATTATTATTATCTTCATTTTATAAATGAAGAAACTGAGGCTTAAACAGATTAAGTAATTTCACCAAGGTCCTATATAGTAATGGGTGTTCTAGGCAGTATTTTTTTTAAATATGAAATTTATTGTCAAATTGGTTTCCATGCAACACCCAGTGCTCATCCCAACAGATGCCCTCCTCAATACCCATCACCCACCCTCCCCTCCCTCCCACCCCCCATCAACTCTCAGATTGTTCTCAGTTTTTAAGAGTCTTTTATGGTTTGCCTCCCTCCCTTTTTTTTCCTTCCCCTCCCCCATGGTCTTCTGTTAACTTTCTCAGGATCCACACAAGAGTGAAAACATATGGTATCTGTCTTTCTCTGTATGACTTATTTCACTGAGCATAACACTCTCCATTTCCATCCACGTTGCTACAAAAGGCCAGATTTCATTCTTTCTCTATGCCATGTAGTATTCCCATTGTGTATATAAACCACAATTTCTTTATCCATTCGTCAGCTGATGGACATTTAGGCTCTTTCCATAATTTGGCTATTGTTGAAAGCGCTGCTATAAACATTGGGGTACAAGTGCCCCTATGCATCAGCACTCCTGTGTCCCTTGGGTAAATTCCTAGCAGTGCTACTGCTGGGTCATAGGGTAGATCTATTTTTGATTTTTTGAGGAACCTCCCCAGTTTTCCAGACTGGCTGCACCAGTTTGCATTCCCACCAACAGTGCAAGAGGGTTCCCATTTCTCCATATCCTCTCCAGCATCTATAGTCTCCTGATTTGTTCATTTTAGCCATTCTGACTGCTGTGAGATGGTATGTGAGTGTGGTTTTGATTTGTATTTCCCTGATGAGAAGTGACGTTGAGCATCTTTTCATGTGCCTGTTGGCCATCTGGATGTCTTCTTTAGAGAAGTGTCTATTCATGTTTTCTGCCCATTTCTTCACTGGATTATTTGTTTTTCGGGTGTGGAGTTTGGTGAATTCTTTATAGATTTTGGATACTAGTCCTTTGTCCAATATGTCATTTGCAAATATCTTTTCCCATTACATTGGTTGCCTTTTAGTTTTGTTGATTGTTTCCTTTGCAGTGCAAAAGCTTTTTATCTTCATGAGGTCCCAATAGTTCATTTTTGCTTTTAATTCCCTTGCCTTTGGAGATATGTCAAGTAAGAAATTGCTGAGGCTGGGTCAGAGAGGTGTTTTCCTGCTTTCTACTCTAGAGTTTTGATGGTTTCCTATCGCACATTCAGGTCCTTTATCCATTTTGAGTTTATTTTTGTGAATGGTGTAAGAAAGTGGCCTAGTTTCATTCTTCTGCATGTTGCTGCCCAGTTCTCTCAGCACCATTTGTTAAAGAGACTGTCTTTTTTCCATTGGATATTCTTTCCTGCTTTGTCAAAGATTAGTTAACCGTACTTTTGTGGGTCTAATTCTGGAGTCTCTATTCTATTTCATTGGTCTATATGTCTGTTTTTGTGTTAATACCATGCTGTCTTGATGATTACGGGTTTGTAATAGAGGCTAAAGTCTGGGATTTGTAGGCAGTATTGAGACCCAAGTCTTTTTGTTTCTAAAATACATCTTCATTTTACTGTACCACATTTCTATTCCAGTGACCAGATACATCTATTTTTCTAACCTAGAAAGATATATTGGATCCATCATTCATGGCCTTCTAAATTCTCAAATGACCATAAGCAGTGAATTACCTGAGAGACTAGTCCTTGGCTTTAGAACTTTTCTACTGTTCTCAACTTGAAAGTATCTCAAATGATGAGGTTTTCAGTATCTTTGACAAAAGGGAGAAAAACAAAGTTGAGGTAATCAACTTTTTTCCATAAAGCTAGTTACAAATGTAAGAGACTTCTATTATTCTAAAACTACAATCTCTCTCCCCCAGCACCCCTCTTCCTCTCCCTGTCTCTATGTTCTGATGTCTTTTTCTCTTTTAATGAAACAATGGAGCTAGTAGAAGGTAGTTTGCTTTTTAACATGCTTACAAGTAAGCATGTTTCAAGCATGTTTCAAATAATAAGTGGGCAAGTCCACTGAAAGAGTGTGTCCAATGAATATAATCAAAATTACAAACTTAATTCTGTTCCCCAATTTCCTGTTCAAATGTGTTAGTTATGTCCTTCCTCTAACTGCGAATGAAATTTTGGACATGCTCTGTAGCTTCTCTATTGACCTTTAGTTAATAAAATGTTCTCAGATCACATTCACTCACAGTAATAGTCTCTTTTTAGTAAGTGATAAGTTCAAGCTAGTTAATAATCAAAACTCTGATCTTCATAGTAAGTTAATGTGTTTCCTCTAGCAGCCCAGTCCTGCTCCAGACTGAAAGCCTACAGTGGGGGAAGGGAGAGATATGGTGACCTCCTTGTCTTTTTTCCTTTTTAGCTGACCTCCATGGCCTCGCCCTACATACATACTGAGTTTTAGCTTCTGATTGCACCAGGATTGGGGATGAGGGGGAATAAAACAAAGATATGGTTTTAATTAATGGCATAGCTAACATCTGGCTTTTGTTTTCTCTGCCCATGGCAGATGCTTGAAACTGATTCTTTCTCTTATAGAAGCTTTCATGTAATCTAGCTACATTTCTACCTCTTAAAATTTTTCTCAGTGGCCTATCACCATTCAAGACCAAAACAAAAACTTGGCGAGTACTTACTCTGTGTCATGCACTGTACCAGGTGCCAGGATATTTACCAACCCAAAAGCACAATGTGAAAGAACATATTAGTAAAATAAATAAATCTTCAGTCTCAATATCATATTAAGTTTAACTTTTTATTTAAATTTGGTCATAAAGTCTTACTTTACAAGTTAATTGCTATTGTAAAAAAGGGATAGGTCATTAATAGTCTCATTTCTCAGATGTTATTTGATATATGTTCTGACTTGTGTTACCTCCAATGTAGTGTGCACTTTGAACTTATAAGCAGAAAATCTATTTTCAAAGGGTATGCATTCGAGTTCTTGAAATAAATGTGCTCCCAAGTTTGTAGTTTAAGACAGAGTAGGCATTGTTTATCATGTTTTACAGCTGACTCCTAAATAACATGGGGGTCAGGAGCACCAACCAGCCCCATGCAGTCAGAAATCCTTGTGTAACTTTTGATTCCTCAAAAACTTAACCATTAATAGTCTACTGTTGACTGGAAGTTTTACTGATAACATAAACAGTCGATCACATATTTTGTATGTCACATGTATTATATACTGTATTCTTACACAATTCTTATTTCTCTAGTAAGCTAGAGAAAATACTTTAAAATACATTTAAAATACTGTGCTGTATTTATCAAAAAAATCCATATATAAGTGGCTCTGTATAGTTCAAACTCATGTTGTTCAAGGGTCAACTGTAATTCAGTTGAATTTCAGGAGACGAACCAAGAAATTTATAGAAAGATAAACTATGATGGGTTGGCATTAGTGTAGTTAGGTGACCTTTTAAACTTTAAACTTCCACATCACAGTATGAAGTTGGTTCTGAGATAAGAAATAGAATAAATTGTCCCCTAAGGACAGACCTGAATCTCTGACTGCCTAGAGGCTCACTCAACCAGAGATCATGGCTTTTGATGGTACTTGGAAGATAGACCGGAATGAGAACTATGACAAGTTCATGGAAAAAATGGGTAAGGACTTAATTCTTCAGTGGCTTATTTTATTCCTCACAGATACTTTCCTTTCTAATTCTGTCTAAACCTCAGGGTTTAGGGAATGGTTCCTGTTCTGGTGGTAAGGATCCAGAATGTATGATGGTTCAGAGTAGGGAAAATAATATTTTCACTTCTTATATTAGGAAGACTACACTGTCTCACTAGTAGAAGCAAAGATTCTTTGAGTTCTCTGAAACAAAAAATATCCAGGTAGGTTTCATTCACTCTTTAACTAATGATTGTGCTTATACCATTGAAAACTGACTTTTTTGGGGGGCGCCTGGGTGGCGCAGTCGGTTAAGCGTCCGACTTCAGCCAGGTCACGATCTCGCGGTCCGTGAGTTCGAGCCCCGCGTCGGTCTCTGGGCGGATGGCTCAGAGCCTGGAGCCTGTTTCCGATTCTGTGTCTCCCTCTCTCTCTGCCCCTCCCCCGTTCATGCTCTGTCTCTCTCTCTGTCCCAAAAATAAATAAACGTTGAAAAAAAAAATTAAAAAAAAAATAAAAATAAAAATAAAAGAAAACTGACTTTTTTTTTTCCCTTAGAGAATAAAAAAGGGCAGTGTGTAATGAAAAGCTCAAAACTTTGAAACACTGAATTCTAGAGGATGGAAAAACAAAGATAGTAAAGCAATGGGGAAAAAAAAGTTCTATCAAAATTCACAATTCTAAATAACTTAGACTTAATTCTCATTCCTCTGACATGTAAAATTGGGGGAATAATCTCATGATTCCATGTGGTTTCTGTGTGAGTTTTAGCTATCTTTAATATCTATTCCAATACTCTGGAAGTCCATACATTGTACAGGATGTGCAAACAAACTTCTGTCATTCCTCAAAAAATAAAACCTGCATCAATTATGTCCTATAGTTCCAGAATTCCATGTTGAAATTTATGGAATTTGCACATCCTTACACTAATGAATTTGACTGCAATATTTGCCAATTTTCTCATTTTTGTGACAGTCAGAAATGCTACAAAAAGCAAGGAGAATTATGAAGTTCAAAATTTGAAAGCTATTATGGAAAGTGAAAAAACGTTTTAAAAACACTGTTTTTGCAGAATTAAAGTTCCTTATAAATATATGAATATATTTAATCCTTCATTTGACATTTTTGGAATTTAGTTTACTTAACACTGAAACAAAAAGTTTGATAACTGTATTAAAATTATTCAGTTCTAAGATCCTACAATTCTAGTTTTCATTTAATTTTTCTTAAGTTTTGGAAAAATAGCTTGAATCACTACTCTTGATCTAAGCTTGAACTTTTTCGGCAAGAGGCATTTTGAATGTTCTTGTGCAAAGACAATGCTATCAGGCTTTCTTCCCCACCCTCAAAACGTACATAAACAAATAAGTAAAACAGGACTTGTTAAAATAAACACTTTCTATGGCATTTTGACTTTTTTTCTCCAACATCTTTTGCTTTGCAGGTGTTAATATGGTGAAAAGGAAGCTTGCAGCTCATGACAATCTGAAACTGACAATCACACAAGAAGGAAATAAATTCACGGTCAAAGAATCCAGCAATTTTCGTAACATTGATATTGTTTTTGAGCTTGGTGTCACTTTTAATTACAGCCTAGCAGATGGAACTGAACTCAGTGTAAGAAACTTTTTATAAGCAATGCATTCTTGATTTTTTTACACAATACTAAAATAATCTGTTTTCTGTCATTGGATGTGGTCTAATTAAGTCTCCTTCATTTATTGAAGCAGCCAATAGTTTATCCACATTGTATCTTGCACAAATTGGCAGAATATTTAACTATAATGTTTTTATTTTCATACACATCTGTAAATAGTCTGGATTGAACAATAAGAATTAGAAAAACATCCTTCAGGTGATTAAGTATAGACCTATTATTCATAAAGAAAATGATAGCTCAGTGTTTTCAACTTATTATATAACTGATAGCAATAAAAACTTTCATATTTCTCTAACTTAAACATAATAGTAATTTAATAAATATACCAAAATAGCAAAATAAGTGAATAAATTAGTTAATGGATAAGTGACAAAATGGGAAAGTCTAATGCTACATTGTAGGTCATTGGGAATATACCTTTTAATGTTTAAGATAAAAAATTTTAGAAAGTCATACTTCCAACTGATTTTTTAAAAACATTTTTGTCCTCAGGATTTTGTAATTAAATTATATGTTGGTAATGACAAACTGTGAAATATCTTATCACTTATGGTCATTTTTATTTATTATTTATTTTTTAAAGGTTTTATTATCAAACAATCTCTACACCCAGCTTGGGTCTGGAACCCACAACCCAAGATCAAGAGTTGGATGCTCCACTGACTGAGCCAGCCAGGCACCCCTATGACCATTTTAAAATTATTACAACAATTATAAAATTAAAACAAACACAGGGTTGTTAGGTTCTCCATGAAACTAACTTGAACTATGACTAAATTTACGACACTCTTTGTAACATGAAACATTGAGAAAAATGCTGTTCATCTACCTTAAAGTTTAGCATTTGGAAACAACTGAGTGAGACAAGCATAATTGTTACCAACACATACTCTAGAGCCCCAAAACCTAGGCTGAATCCTGGCTCTGTGACTTTAGGTGAAGTACTATGCTTCAGTTTTCTCAACCATAAAATGGAGATAATAATATCTACTTCACAACGTTATTGTAAAGATTGAAAAAGTAGATCTATAAATTGAGAACAGAGGGCACCTGGGTGTCTCAGTAGGGTAAGCATCCAACTCTTAGGCTCAGGTCATGATCTCACTGTTTGAGTTTGAGCCCCGTGCAGGGCTCTGTGTTGACAGCACACGGCCTGTTTGGGATTCTTTGCCTCTCTCTCTCTCTCTCTCTCCCAAAAATAAATAAACATTTAAAAATAAACAATAAACTCCCAAAAACCCCCACCTCAGAACAGTGTTTGACATACTTAAGACCCTAAAAAAATTATCATTATTATTATTTGTTGTGGTTACTATTATTGTTTTACATATTATTATTATTATTATTATTATTTTACATATGTAGGGTGCTTGGAGCCTAGAGGGAAATAAACTTGTTGGAAAATTCAAACGGGTAGACAATGGATGTGAACTGAATGCTATCCGAGAAATTGTAGGTGGTGAACTGGTCCAGGTGAGTTGTAAAAATATTACAGCTATTTCTTAAAGACAAAATAATTACATAACAATAATTTTATTTTGTGATTCCTGAGTTATAGCTTCAACAAATAAACTAATACTTTTCTCATAAATCTTATTTTAAAGAGATACGTTATTTTCTGATGCCTATTTATTGAGGAGAGCTTATATATATGCCAAATATATCAGTGCCTATTGATAACCAAAAAATGTGTTTTGAAGTGGGCATATCCTGCCTCTGTATAAAATGTTGCTATCAAGACTAAGAAAAAAAATATTATAATCATTTCAAAGCTATAATAATACTAATACTTTTCTTAATTTAGCCTTAAATCTTAATGGCAAATTCTTCTATGTTTGTTAACACCTTTCAGACTTACACATATGAAGGAGTAGAAGCCAAGAGGATCTTCAAAAAGGAATGAGCTTCATTTTTGGAGCACAGCCCAGAACACAAATTGAATAGAAAATCTATATTGTATTAAAACTGTTTTTCTCTCCCTGATTAGTCCTTTTGTAAACATAACCAGTGACTTATATTTCTAGTCTTGCCAAGGCAAGAGAAGTAAAAGCTAATTAGGATTTAATTTGTTTTACATTCTCTAAGATGTACATTTATTGCTGTATTCGTGTTGGAAAAGAATTTGTGACATGTTTTAAAATAGATGAATAAACTTTGTTCCCACATTGCTTTGTAGGTAGCTTTTCCTTTAAAAAAAAAAAAAAGAAAGAAAGAAAAAGAAAAAAGAACAAAAAGGAGGGGCACCTGGGTGGCTTAGTTAGTTAAGTATCCAACTCTAGGTTTTGGCCAGGGTCATGATTTTACGGCTCGTGAGTCCAAGCCCCACAGCAAGCCCCGCATCTGGCTCTATGCTGACAGTGTGGAGCCTGCTTGGGATTCTCTCACTCTCACTCTCCCTCTCTCTGTCCCTCCCCAGCTCTCTCTCTCTCTCTCTCTCTCTCTCGGTCTCTCTCTCTCAAAATAAATAAAACTTTAAAAAAATTTTTAAATACAGATTAAAAAAAATTAAATAAATAAAGTTATGCAACATATGCATTGATAGACTATACTTTCCCCCACCCCCACATTTGGTAAACTGAAAACACAGACTGGATTGGGGTCTTTAAAATCTTACACTGGTTGTGATTTTTCAGCAGAAACTTTGCAGGCCAAAAGGGAGTGGCAGGATATATTTAAAGTGCTGAAAGGGAAAAATGTATAACCAAGAATACTCTACCCTGCAAGGTTATCATTCAGAATTAAAGGAGAGATAGAGTTTCCCAGAGAAGCAAAAACTAAAGGAGGTCATCATCACTAAACCAGCTGTACAAGAACTGTTAAAGGATCTTCTTTAAATGGAAAAGAAAAGTCCACAACTAGAAATAAAATATATGACAGAAAAAATCTCCATTGTAAAGCAAATATATGATCAAGGAAGTGCATTTGCTACTTAAAAGTTAGTATGATGGTTAAAAAACAAAAATAGTAAAAACACCTATAACTACATAGATAGTTTTAAAATACATAAAATAAAAAGATATATAATATGACATAAAAACAAAACATGGGGAGGGGGTTAAAATGTAGTGCTTTCAGATGCATTCAAACTTAAGTGACTATCAGCTTAAAATAGACTGCTATATAAATAGATCAATATAGAAAAACCTCATGGTAACCACAAGCCTAAAATCTACAATAGATACACAAAAAATAAAGAGAAAAGAACCCAAACATAACACTAAAGAAAATCATCAAACCACAGGGGAAAAGACAAAGAACGGAAGAAAAAAAAAAAAACAGAAAAACTACAAAAACAACCAGAAAACAATTAACAAAATGGCAATAAGTACATACCTATCAATAATAACTTTAAATATAAATGGACTAAATGTTCCAATAAAAAGACACAGGTTTGCTGAATGGATAAAAATAGAAGACCATCTATATGATGCCTATAAGAGACTCTATTTTTTTTAATGCTTATTTATTTTTTAGAGAGAGAGAGAGAGAGACAGAGAATAAGCGGAGGAGGAACAGAGAGAGAGGGGGACAGACGATCCAAAGCAGGCTCTGTGCTGATAGTAGATAGTCGAATGCGGGGCTTAAACTGACAAACCCTGAGATCATGACATGAACCGAAGTTGGATGCTTGACTGACTGAGCCACCCAGGTGCCTCAAGAAACGCTCTATCTAAAGACACACACAGGCTGAAAGTGAAGAGATGGAAAAATATTTTACATACGAATGGAAATGAAAAGTAAGTTAGAGTAGCAATACTCATATCAAATAGACTTTAAAACCAAGACTGCCACAAAAGACTAAAAGGACATTACATAATGACAAAGGGGTCAATCCATGAATCAATTAATTTGTAAATATTAATTCATCCAACATTGGAGCACCTAAATATATAAAGCAAATATTAACAGACATAGAGAAATTGACAGTAATACAATAATAGTAGGGGACTTTAACACCCCACTTACATCAAAAGATAGATGGTCCAGGCCAAAACAAAAAACAAAAAACAAAAAATTAGTAAGGAAACAGTGGCCTAAAACAACACACTAGACTAGATGGACTTTACAGATACATATATATAACATTTTATCTAAAAGCTACAGAATACACAATATTTTCAAGTATACATGGAATATTCTCCATGATCAACCACGTTAGACCACAAAACAAGTCTCAATAAAATCAAGAAGATAAAAATCATATCAAGCATCTTTTCTGGCCATAATATGAAACTAGAAATCAATTACAAGAAGAAAACTAGAAAAACCACAAACATGTGTAGACTAAACAACATGCCACTAAACAATCAATGGGTCAATAAAGAAATTAAAAAGGAATTAAAAAATACCTTGAAAATGGAAACACAAGGCTTCAAAATTCATGGAACACAGCAAAAACAGTTCTAAGAAGGAAGTTCATAATGATACAGGCCTACCTCGAGAAACAAACAAAAAAATCCCATATAAACAATCTAACTTTACAACCTAAATAAACTAGAAAAAAAATAAAAATAATAAAGCCCAAAGTTAGTAGGAAGAAGGAAATAATAAAGATCAGAGTAGAAATAAATGAAATAGAGACTAAAAAAAAAAAAGAAAGAAAAGCAATGAAACTAAAAGCTGATTCTTTGATAAAATAAGTAAAATCAATAAACCTTTTGTTAGTTCCATCAAGAAAAACGACACAGGACCCAAATAAAATCAAATGAAAGAGAAGTTACAACTGACACCATGGAAATCTAAAGGATCCCAAGAGAATACTATGAACAATTATAAATCAACAAAATGGAAAACCTAGAAGAAATGGATAAATTCCTTGAAACACAGAACCTTCCAAGACCAAATCACAAAGAAATAGAAAACCTGAATGGACTGTTTACAAGTAATGAAATTGAATCAGTAATTTAAAAACTCCCAACAAACAAAAGTCCAGGAGCAAACACTGTTACAGATGAGTTCTATCAAATATTTAAAAAAGAGTTAATACCTCTTCTTCTCAAATTATTCCAAACACCTGAAGAGGAAGGAATGCTTCCAAACTAATTTTACAAGGGTAATATTATTCAATACTGGAATCAGACACCACAAAAGGAGAAAATTACAGGTCCATATTCCTGAATGACACATATGCAAAAATCCTCAACAAAACACTGACAAACTAAATTCAACAATACATTAAAAGGATCATATACCACAATCAACTGGGATTTATTTCAGGGATATAAGAATGGTTCAACTTCTATATATCAATCAACGTGATACATCACATTAACAAAACAAAGCATAAAAATCCTATGATCATCTCAATAGATGCAGAAAGAGCATTTGACAAAATTCAGTACCCATTTATGATAAAAAGTCTTGAAGTGGGTATAGAAGAAATGTATCTCAAAATGACAAAGGCCAAATATGACAAACCCACAGCTAACATTATACTCAAAAGAGAAAAGCTGAAAGCTTTTTCTCTAAGATCAGGAAAAAAACAAGGATGGCCTACTCTTGCAACTTTTATACAACATAGTATTGAAAATCCTAGCCACTGCAATTAGGCCAGAAAAAGAAACAAAAGGCATCTAAATTTGAAAGAAAAAGGGGCACCTGAGTGGCTGAGTCAGTTAAGCATCTGACTTCGGCTCAGGTCATGATCTTGCAGTTTGTGGGTTTGAGCCCCCCATCAGGCTCTGTGCTGACAGCTCAGAGCCTTGAGCCTGCTTCAGATTCTGTGTCTCCATCTCTCTTTGCTCATCCCCAAGTCATGCTCTGTCTCTCTCTCTCTCTCTCTCTCAAAAATGATAATAAATAAATAAATAAATACATAAATAAATACATAAATAAATGTAAAGAAAGAAGTAAAACTGTCACTCTTTACAGATGACATGATACTATATACAGAAAATCCTAAACACTACTGGAGCTAATAAACCAATTTAGTATACTTGTAGAATACAAAATTAACATACAGAAATCGTTTGCATGTCTATACACTAACAACAAGCTACCAGAAAAGAGAAATAAAGAAAATAATCCCATTTATAACTGCATCAAAAAGACTAAAATACCTAGGGATAAATTTAACCAAATAGGTGAAAGACCTGTACTCTGAAAAGTGTAAGACACTGATGAAAGAAATTGAAGCAGACACAAACAAATGAAAAGACATACAGTGCTCAAAGACTGGAAGAATTAATATTGTTTAAATGTTGGTATTAGCCAAAGAAATCTATAAATTCAAAGCAATCCCCATGAAAAATGCCTTTGCATTTTTCATACAACTAAAACAAAATATCCTAAAATTTGTTTGAAACCACAAAGACTCCAAACAGCCAAAGCAATCTTGAGAAAGGAGAACAAAGCTGGAGGTATCATACTCCCTGATTTCAAATTATACTACAAAGCTGTAGTAACCAAAACAATATGGTGCTGCCACAAAAACAGACACATAGATTAATGGAATAGAATAGAGAGCTCAGAAAGAAACCGATGCTTACATCGTCAAGTAATCTGTGACAAAGAAGGCAAGAACACACAACAGGGAAAAGATAGTCTCATCAATAAATGCTGTTGGGAAAACCAGGTAGCTACGTGCAAAAGAATGAAACTGGACCACTATCTCACACCATGTTTTCAAGACTTGAATGCAAGACCTGAAGCCATAAAACTCCTAGAAGAAAATATAGGAATAAACCCTTTGACATCAGTCTTAGAAATATATATATATTTTTGACTAGTCTCCTCAGGCAAAAGTAACAAAAGCTAAAATAAATAAATGGGATTACATCACAGTAAAAAGCAGAGAGAAGAAAACCAACAAAATGAAAAGGCAACCTGTTGAATGGGAGGAGATAACCTGCAAATCAGACATCCGATAAGGGGTTAATATTCAAAATATATAGAATTTGAAAAACCTAATATCAAAAAAAAAAAACAACAAATAACCTGATTTTAAAATGGGAAGAGAACTTAAATAGATATTTTTCCAGGGAAGACTTACAGATGGCCAATATTCATATGAAAAGATGCTCAACATCAGGGAAATGCAAACCAAAACCACAATTTTACTTCACAACTGTCAGATCGGTTATTATTAAAAAGACAAAAAATAAGTGTTAGCAAAGATGTAGAGAAAAGGGAACCCTCATACATTGTTGGTGGGAATGTAAATTGGTGCAGCTACTGTTGAAAACAGCCTGGAGGTTCCCCTAAAAAATTAAAAACAGAACTACCATATGATCCAATAATTCTACTTCATGGTATTTATCCAAAGAAAACAAAAACACCAATTTGAAGGGATACATACACTTCCATGTTCACTGCAGCATTATTTACAATTACCAAGATATGGAAACAACCGAATAACCTGTCTATTAATAGATGAGTAGATAAAGAAAATGTGATGTACACAC